TGTGATACAGCGAAACAGTACTGTCTGCGAATGACACACACACACACACACACACACACACATATATATATATATATATATATATATATATATATATATAATTATTCATATAAACGAATATATATGTGTGTGTGTCTGTGTATCAATAAGTACCTAGTCAGTCGTCTTTAACAAAACTTGTATAAAAGAGGGATTGTTGCCCAAATACACAATATATATATATATATATATATATCTTTCATGCTATTTACCCATAGCTGGAGGAGAAGAAGATTCATACCTTTCCCAAGGGTATTAGCACGTAAATGAATGTAATGGATACGTTTCTCAAACTATAGAGGGATTTGATTTTTCAGAATGATCACCTTCCCGAAAGAGTGGTTCCAGGCGAAGAGAATTTAGTGACCTAAATCATATAAAGAATCTGTGGACGGAAATAAAACTTCCAAGTCCATCGGAAAAATTCCTAAAATTTGAATGATCTTTAGACGATTTCTCAACAGGAGTGTGATAAAATTAGTGTTAATTTCTGCGAGAATGTTATCTCAAATTATCCCAGACGTCTGACAACTGTCATATCAAATAATGAATACACCATCAAATATTTAACACTGACAAATATTTTTCTATTTCTCTTTATGTATACTATATCCTATTTATATCTTTATGCATACTATATCCGATTTATCATATGCTTCTCAAGTTTTAATTTAGTCGCAATATAATTTTCTTTTAAGAAAATAATATCATAATTTTATGTATCTAATACTTTTTCGTATCGCTACATATAACGACAGACTTCTCCTTTTCCGAACACACATTTCTGTTTGGGAGACTAGCAAATCCCTATTGCAGACGCCCGATCATACACATTTGTGTTTTGTGTTTGTTCGACACCCATAGAACCTATTAGTGGTTTATCCTGCAACTATTTTGAGCGTATCTTAGTTTCTGGGGAAAAAGTGCATAATCTGGCATCATCAACAATTTGAACAACGCCAGTACGCTCAAACCCTCGGACACGATGACTTGCGACATCGTGCTAGAACAACCATCGATGGTTCCCAAACGTGTTTGTCTACCCAGTTTCACTCATATGATATTTTTTAGGTATGTTTCAAATAGGCCGCATGCAGAGAACGTCTCCCAAGTAGATAACATCAAGAAGCCGCCTTCTTGATAAATCGAGTACGTGTCACTATATATATATATATATATATATATATATATATATATATATATATATATATATTTAAATAAAAGAAAGAACAGTAACATATATAATCCGGTGTTCTTATAGATATTTTATTTTTACAAAATAGTGCTCAATGTAAATTTACAGAGCATTAATATTATAAATTAATTGATTTAAAATGTTTTTCTGTTATTATGTTCTAACTATGTTTCAAAAATGGAAGCTAAAAAGCCACGAATTTAATTTTACAATTAAATTAAAGACATTAGTTCCATTTCCTCCTCAAGCGAATTTTGGAGTAACTTTTAAAATTACTGGATTTTAAAGACACAGCTAAAATCCCGTTTCCATGGTTACAGATAAATCTACTTCAATTGGACAAGGGTTTTCTGGGTTTTCCTTATGTCTGTATCATTGTATCAGTTATTAGCTACATTTTGGTAAGGGGTAGGGATGTATTTTTCAATGAGAACTGACATCCGTTGAATGCATGTCGTCTGGATATTTTTAAAATTTATTGTTAACGGCAATATATATATATATAAGATAGTTTACATATATGATCGATAACTATCTATTTATCTAACTTCCAAATATATGCATTAGTCATCTATATGCACCATCTCAGCCACAGATATATATATATATATATATATATATATATATATATATATATATATATATATATATATATCATACCAAAGTACAGGATTGGTGTATACAGAATAAATTCCAGTAACCAAACAATACTGTTCTTAAAAGAGTGCTAAATACAGAGTAGAGCAAATATTATGTATTCAAAAATTGTAATATAAACATGTTATAATATCACTGCAAAAATACCCATTTTGTTTCAACACTTCTGGTGTCTTATCAAGTGATGGTGCTACACCAAGGAAAAATTAAAATCACTGTTTTGAGAAATAAATGTTTCTCAAAACAGTGGTTTTAAATTTTCCTTCTATGTTTTGATCGAGAATGTTCGTTTAAATATTTCCTATAAGTTTCGTTGAATTGATCTGTTGTTTTTTGAGAGATGTAAGAAAAACCAATGTGTTAAATACTTTTGCTAGCCACTGTATTTATATATATTAGAAGAAAGAAGTATGATAAAGTGAGCATCTTTTTCGTGTGAAGCGTTTCATTCTTTTAGACTTCATATGTTTACGTTGATGCGACTATACATGAGCCCGAAGGAATTTTAAATTGAATTTATTTTTAATATATGTTTTGGATATATAATTTAACCTATTTAATTTGGGCTTTTTTTTTTCTTTTTATCTGTTATCATCGCCTTTGTTATTAAATATCCCACATTCTGATAACAGAAAATCTGCCAAGAATGTTGCAAGAACCTAGACGCAAATTTACTGTGGATGATCTATCACATTCTAAACATTTTCGTCTTAGTATTTTTTCCTCTTTTAATTAGAGCATCGTTTGTTTTTAATCAAAATATGGTAAGTCTCGTTACGGTGAGCAACTAATTCATTTAATTTGTTGCTTTGTAAGAGATCCCTTTTGTGTTCATAAATTCGTTTATATAAATCTCTTGAGGTTTCTCCGATTTATTCCTTGTGGCAATCGTAACAAGTGATAGTAAATTCCTCTTTCAAGTTTTAACTTCATATTATTTTGTTTTGTATGAAGTCATTGTTTTAGACGTGATTCTGATAATGTTTTGAGTTTAAATAAATTCTTTTCAATTGTAGTTTTGATGAAGCTGGTAGGTAGAAAAATATATTTTAAATCGTTGAGTTTATCAGGAATTATCGCATTTCTATTTTGAAATATTTTACAAGCCTTTTGTTTCGCAGTGAATATGAAATAATTAGGATATTGAAGGAGTTTAAAACTATTTTCAATGTATTTTTCAAGGGTACTAGCTAAATAACCTTTCTAGTCCGGCAGTATAACTGTAAAAATTATAATTATCATTAATTTACTCATACTAAACTAATGAGAATCGACGCCACATTTCTCCTCTAGACACACAAACACGTGAAATTCTCATTATCGGACAAGCAGGTCGTTAACACGTGCGTCAACGAAAAGGTCGTCTCCTTTTCTTTTTTTCAGGCCATAATCGTAATATTTATCTCTTAGCAGTCAACAAAACTTCTAATTAAGAAAACCCCAGACACTATTTTTCTGACTAAATTATCTGGACACTCATCATCTATCTATTATCTATCTATCTATCTATCTATCTATCTATCTATCTATCTATATATATATATATATATATATACTATCTATCTATCTATTCTCCATATTTGATCTACATTTGACTAAATATATTATTGTTTTTCGTCTCTCCATATAAAACAAACAATATATTTTGTTTTTCCATATATATGAATAAATGTTAGGGCGTTTAAAAAACTCAGATTTATACATTTATGACTTATTTTTTTCATCTCCTCATCCTGCTCAAAGCTTCTCAATCTATTGGATTCCGATCCATGATTTGGAATCTACATTTGAAAATTTAATTTCCTCAGCACAAATTCTAAAGGGCTTCAACTAAATTTTAATTCCAGTATTCTGCATTATTGTTTTTCGTCTCCCAACTCCACCTCCAAAAATGGAAAACAAACAATAAATAATACAAGTTTTTATAGTTTTTTCCATGTCTTCTGCTGTTTTCGTTTTTTTTTCAACCGTTCTGAACATTTATTTTTTTGGTGAATAAATCCATAAATTTTTTATTCCCGGCAAATTAATAAAATTATTTAGACTCAATATCGGATTTATAATTTCCCTGTGGGGACAAAACAAATTTTATGATAATAAAAACAATGAATTCCTTTGTTGCGTGAAAAAAGTCGTCCCGAGTTGAAAGCACTATAGTTATTTCAATGTAACAATCCTCAAAACTGTGGTTATTGGGAGACTTATGGACTTGGCCTGCTCTTGGTTGATAAGCACTGTGGGGAAAAGAAAGCTCTGAATTGGATCTCAAAAAGAAAGCTCCTATTTGTTGAAAATGTAAAAGAAAGCTGAATTGAATATTCTAATTGAGAGACGTTGTTGATAAGCGGAAAAGAAAGCTCAATTGAAGATCCTAAAAAGCAACCTGAATTGGAGAGACAATTATGGAAAAGAAAGCTCTGAATTGGAGAGACCTCTTGTTGATAAGCACTATAGGAAAAGAATGAATTGAATAAAGATCAATTGGAGAGACCCTTGTTGATAAGCAAGAAATTGAAAATTTAAAAGAAAAGCCTTTCTCTCATGCAGTCGAATTGAGAGACTGTCAAAAAGTGAATTGGAGATTGATAAGCACTAAGGGCTTCAACTAAATAAAGTAATTGAATAATTCCAGTATTCTGTCATTTTTATTATTTTGTTATTTTTTCAACCGTTCTGATCATTTTGGCACGCCAATTGGGTTTTGCAGTAAATCACTAAATCATCCATAAATTTTATAAGCACTTATCCTCTCAAATTACATAAAAAAATGTCAGAGACAAAGCACTAAAAAAAGAAAGCTCTAATATCGGATTTAAAAGAAAGACTGAATGTCTGTTGAAAGCATTAATAGAATATAAAAAACAAAATTTGTTAAAACTATAGGGAAAAGAGCTCTTAATAACCACTTTTTGATAAGCTGGAAAAGAAAGTACGAAAAGACTCTCTTGTTGAAAGCCGTTCTGAAAATTTTGGCCGAATTGAGATATTAATTGTTGATAAAATATTAATTGGAGAGACTCTCTTGTTGATAAACGGTTATCGGCATAGACTGCAGACTCTCTTCTCTGATAAGCACTGATGTCTTCCGGAAAGCTATGAATCCAGAGACCCGGTCATAGGGTCTAATTGACAGAGTAAGACTATAGGGAAGAAAGAGAATTGGTTGATAAGCACTATGGGGATAAGAAAGCTCTGAATTGGAGAGACTCTCTTGTTGATAAGCACTGTGGGGAAAAGAAAGCTCTGAATTGGAGAGACTCTCTTGTTGATAAGCACTGTGGGGAAAAGAAAGCTCTGAATTGGAGAGACTCTCTTGTTAAAAGCACTATAGGGAAAAGAAAGCACTGAATTGAGAGACTCTCTTGTTGATAAGCACTTGGGGAAAAAGAAAGCTCTGAATTGGAGAGACTCTCTTGTTGATAAGCACTGGGGAAAAAGAAAGCTCTGAATTGGAGAGACTCTCTTGTTGATAAGCACTGTAGGGAAAAGAAAGCACTGAATTGGAGAGACTCTCTTGTTGATAAGCACTGTGGGGAAAAAGAAAGCCTGAATTGAGAGACTCTCTTGTTGATAAGCACTGTGGGGAAAAGAAAGCTCTGAATTGGAGAGACTCTCTTGTTGATAAGCACTGTGGGAAAAGAAAGCTCTGAATTGGAGAGACTCTCTTGTTGATAAGCACTGTGGGAAAAGAAAGCTCTGAATTGGAGAGACTCTCTTGTTGATAAGCACTGTGGGGAAAAAAAAGCTCTGAATTGGAGACTCTCTTGTTGAAAGCACTATAGGAAAAGAAAGCACTGAATTGGAGAGACTCTTGTTGATAAGCACTGTGGGAAAAAGAAAGCACTGAATTGGAGAGACTCTCTCTTGTTGATAAGCACTGGAAAAGAAAGCTTGAATTGGAGAGAGACTCTCTTGTTGATAAGCACTGTAGGGAAAAGAAAGCTCTGAATTGGAGAGACTCTCTTGTTGATAAGCACTATGGGGAAAAGAAAGAATTGGAGACACTGAATTGGAGAGACTCTCTTGTTGATAAGCACTGTGGGGAAAAGAAAGCTGAATTGAGAGACTCTCTTGGAAAAGAGCACTGAAAAAGAAAGTTGGAGAGACTCTCTTGTTGATAAGCACTGTGGGGGAAAAGAAAGCTCTGAATTGGAGAAAGACTCTCTTGTTGATAAGCACTATAGGAAAAGAAAGCACTGAATTGGAGAGACTCTCTTGTTGATAAGCACTATAGGGAAAAGAAAGCACTGAATTGGAGAGACTCTCTTGTTGATAAGCACTGTGGGGAAAAGAAAGCTCTGAATTGGAGAGACTCTCTTGTTGATAAGCACTATAAAAAGAAAGCACTGAATTGGAGAGACTCTCTTGTTGATAAGCACTATAGGGAAAAGAAAGCACTGAATTGGAGAGACTCTCTTGTTGATAAGCACTGTGGGGAAAAGAAAGCACTGAATTGGAGAGACTCTCTTGTTGATAAGCACTATAGGGAAAAGAAAGCACTGAATTGGAGAGACTCTCTTGTTGATAAGCACTATAAAGGGAAAAGAAAGCTCTGAATTGGAGAGACTCTCTTGATAAGCACTGTGGGGAAAAAGAAAGAATTGGAGAGACTCTCTTGTTGATAAGCACTGGGGAAAAGAAAGCTCTGAATTGGAGAGACTCTCTTGTTGATAAGCACTGTGGGGAAAAGAAAGCACTGAATTGGAGAGACTCTCTTGTTGATAAGCACTGTGGGGAAAAGAAAGCACTGAATTGAGAGACTCTCTTGTTGATAAACACTGAAAAAAAGCACTGAATTGGAGAGACTCTCTTGTTGATAAGCACTGTGGGGAAAAGAAAGCTCTGAATTGGGAGAGACTCTCTTGTTGATAAGCACTGTAGGGAAAAGAAAGCACCTGAAAGAGACTCTCTTGTTGATAAGCACTGTGGGGGAAAAGAAAGCTTGAATTGAGAGACTCTCTTGTTGATAAGCACTATAGGGAAAAGAAAGCACTGAATTGGAGAGACTCTCTTGTTGATAAGCACTGTGGGGAAAAAAAGCTCTGAATTGAGAGACTCTCTTGTTGATAAGCACTGGGAAAAGAAAGCACTGAATTGGAGAGACTCTTGTTGATAAGCACTGTGGGGAAAAGAAAGCTCTGAATTGGAGAGACTCTCTTTGTTGATAAGCACTGTGGGGAAAAGAAAGCTCTGAATTGGAGAGACTCTCTTGTTGATAAGCACTGTGGGGAAAAGAAAGCACTGAATTGGGAGACTCTCTTGTTGATAAGCACTGTGGGAAAAGAAAGCTCTGAATTGAGAGACTCTCTTGTTGATAAGCACTGTGGGGAAAAAGAAAGCTCTTGAATTGGAGAGACTCTCTTGTTGATAAGCACTGTGGGGAAAAGAAAGCTCTGAATTGAGAGACTCTCTTGTTGATAAGCACTGTGGGGAAAAGAAAGCTCTGAATTGGAGAGACTCTCTTGTTGAATAAGCATAAGCACTGTGGGAAAAGAAACCTCTGAATTGGAGAGACTCTTGTTGATAAACACTTATAGGAAAAAAAGCTCTGAATTGGAGAGACTCTCTTGTTGATAAGCACTGTGGGGAAAAGAAAGCTCTGAATTGAGAGACTCTCTTGTTGATAAGCACTATATAGGGAAAAGAAAGCACTGAATTGGAGACTCTTGTTGATAAGCACTCTCTGAATTGAGAGACTCTCTGTTGATAAGCACTATGGGGAAAAAGAAAGCACTGAATTGGAGAGACTCTCTTGTTGATAAGCACTATGGGGAAAGAAAGCTCTGAATTGGAGAGACTCTCTTGTTGATAAGCACTGTGGGGAAAAGAAAGCTCTAATTGGAGAGAATAAGCACTATAGGGAAAAGAAAGCACTGAATTGGAGAGACTCTCTTGTTGATAAGCACTGTGGGGAAAAAAGAAAGCTCTGAATTGGAGAGACTCTCTGTTGATAAGCACTGTGGGAAAAAAGAAAGCACTGAATTGGAGAGACTCTTTGTGATCTCTTGATAAGACTGATGGGGGAAAAGACTGTGGGGAAAAGAAAGCTCTGAATTGGAGAGACTCTCTTGTTGATAAGCACTGTGGGGAAAAGAAAGCTCTGAATTGGAGAGACTCTGATAAGCACTTGGGAAAAGAAAGCACTGAATTGGAGAGACTCTCTTGTTGATAAGCACTGTGGGGAAAAGAAAGCTCTGAATTGGAGACTCTCTTGTTGATAAGCACTGTGGGGGAAAAGAAAGCTCTGAATTGGAGAGACTCTCTTGTTTAAGTTGGAAAAAGCAATTGGAGAGACTCTCTTGTTGATAAGGGGAAAAGAAAGCCTGAATTGGAGAGACTCTCTTGTTGATAAGCACTGTGGGAAAAGAAAGCTCTGAATTGGAGAGAGACTCTCTTGTTGATAAGCACTGTGGGGAAAAGAAAGCTCTGAATTAGAGAGACTCTCTTGTTGATAAGCACTGTGGGGAAAAGAAAGCTCTGAATTGGAGAGACTCTCTTGTTGATAAGCACTATGGGAAAAAGAAAAGCACTGAATTGGAGAGACTCTCTTGTTGATAAGCACTGTGGGGAAAAGAAAGCCTGAATTGGAGAGACTCTCTTGTTGATAAGCACTATAAGGGAAAAGAAAGCTCTGAATTGAGACTCTCTTGTTGATAAGCACTGTGGGGAAAAAATTGAAAGCTCTGAATTGGAGAGACTCTCTTGTTGATAAGCACTGTGGGGAAAAGAAAGCTCTGAATTGGAGAGACTCTTGTTGATAAGCACTGTGGGAAAAAGAAAGACTGAATTGGAGAGACTCTCTTGTTGATAAAACACTATGGGAAAAGAAAGCACTTTGGAGAGACTTCTTGTTGATAAGCATAATGGGGAAAAGAAAGCTGAATGGGGAAAAGAAAGCCTGAATTGGAGAGACTCTCTTGTTGATAAGCACTATAGGAAAAAGAAAGCTCTGAATTGGAGAGACTCTCTTGTTGATAAGCACTGTGGGAAAAGAAAGCTCTGAATTGGAGAGACTCTATTGATAAGCTCTTGTTGATAATAAGCACTGTGGGGAAAAGAAAGCACTGAATTGGAGAGACTCTCTTGTTGATAAGCACTGTGGGGAAAAGAAAGCACTGAATTGGAGAGACTCTCTCTCTTGATAAGCACTGTGGGGAAAAGAAAGCTGAATGGAGAGAGACTCTTGTTGATAAGCACTGTGGGGAGAAAGCTCTGAATTGAGAGACTCTCTTGTTGATAAGCACTGTAAAAAGAAAGCTCTGAATTGGAGAGACTCTCTTGTTGATAAGCACTGTGGGGAAAAGAAAGCACTGAATTGGAGAGACTCTCTTGTTGATAAGCACTATAGGGAAAAGAAAGCACTGAATTGGAGAGACTCTCTTGTTGATAAGCACTGTGGGGAAAAGAAAGCTCTGAATTGGAGAGACTCTCTTGTTGATAAGCACTATAGGGAAAAGAAAGCTCTGAATTGGAGAGACTCTCTTGTTGATAAGCACTATAGGGAAAAGAAACCACTGAATTGGAGAGACTCTCTTGTTGATAATCACTATAGGGAAAAGAAAGCACTGAATTGGAGAGACTCTCTTGTTGATAAGCACTGTGGGGAAAAGAAAGCTCTGAATTGGAGAGAGACTCTGTTGATAAGCACTTGGGGAAAAGAAACTCTGAATTGGAGAGACTCTCTTGTTGATAAGCACTGTGGGGAAAAAGAAAGCTCTGAATTGAAGAGAGACTCTGTTGATAAGCACTGTGGGGAAAAAGAAAGCACTGAATTGGAGAGACTCTCTTGTTGATAAGCACTATAGGGAAAAGAAAGCACTGAATTGAGAGACTCTCTTGTTGATAAGCACTATAGGAAAATAAAGCACTGAATTGGAGAGACTCTGTTGATGATAAGCACTGTGGGGAAAAGAAGCTCTGAATTGGATAAGGAGACTCTCTTTGTTGATAAGCACTGTGGGAAAAGAAAGCTCTGAATTGGAGAGACTCTCTTGTTGATAAGCACTGTGGGGAAAAGAAAGCACTGAATTGGAGAGACTCTCTTGTTGATAAGCACTGTGGGGAAAGAAAGTCCTTGAATTGAGAGACTTGTTGATAAGCACTGAAAAGAAAGCTCTGAATTGAGAGAGACTCTTGTTGATAAGCACTGTGGGGAAAAGAAAGCTCTGAATTGAGAGACTCTCTGTTGATAAGCACTGTGGGGAAAAAAGAAAGCTCTGAATTGGAGAGACTCTCTTGTTGATAAGCACTGTAGGGAAAAGAAAGCTCTGAATTGAGAGACTCTCTTGTTGATAAGCACTGTGGGGAAAAGAAAGCCTGAATTAGAGACTCTTTGTTGATAAGCACCTGTGGGGAAAAGAAAGCTCTGAATTGGAGAGACTCTCTTGTTGATAAGCACTGTGGGGAAAAGAAAGCTCTGAATTGAGAGACTCTTGTTGATAAACTGTGGGAAAAGGGAATTGAGAGATTTCGTTGATAAACTCTGAATTGAGAGACTCTCTTGTTGATAAACACTGTGGGGAAAAGAAAGCTCTGAATTGGAGAGACTCTCTTGTTGATAAGCACTGTGGGGAAAAAGAAAGCTCTGAAAAAGACTCTGAATTGGAGACTCTTGTTGATAAGCACTGTGGGGAAAAGAAAGCCTGAATTGAGAGACTGGATACACTGTGGGGAAAAAAGAAAAGCTCTCTTGAGAGAGACTTGTTGATAAGCACTGTGGGGAAAAGAGCCTGAATTGGAGAGACTCTGATAAGCACTGTGGGAAAAGAAAGAATTCTCTTGTTGATAAGCACTGTGGGGAAAGAAAGCTCTGAATTGGAGAGACTCTCTTTGATAAGCACTGTGGGGAAAAAGAAAGCTAATTGAGAGACACTGTGGGGAAAAGAAAGCTCTGAATTGGAGAGACTCTCTTGTTGATAAGCACTGTGGGAAAAGAAAGCTCTGAATTGGAGAGACTCTCTTGTTGATAAGCACTATGGGGAAAAAAAAGCACTGAATTGAGAGACTCTCTTGTTGATAAGCACTGTGGGAAAAGAAATTGAGAGACTGAATTGGGGAAAAGAAAGCACTCTCTTGTTGATAAGCACTGTGGGGAAAAGAAAGCTCTGAATTGGAGAGACTCTCTTGTTGATAAGCACTGTGGGGAAAAGAAAGTTCTGAATTGGAGAGACTCTCCTTGTTGATAAGAACTGTGGGGAAAAGAAAGCTCTGAATTGAGAGACTTTGCTGATAAGCACTGTGGGGAAAAGAAAACACTCTGAATTGGAGAGACTCTTGTTGATAAACACTATGGGAAAAGAAGAAAGCACTGAATTGGAGAGAATTGGAGACTCTCTTGTTGATAAGCACTGTGGGGAAAAAGAAAGCTCTGAATTGGAGAGACTCTCTTGTTGATAAGCACTGTGGGAAAAGAAAGCTCTGAATTGGAGAGACTCTCTTGTTGATAAGCACTGTGGGGAAAAGAAAGCTCTGAATTGGAGAGACTCTCTTGTTGATAAGCACTGTGGGAAAAGAAAGCTGAATTGGAGAGACTCTCTGTTGATAAGCACTGTGGGGAAAAGAAAGCTCTCTGAATTGGAGACTCTCTTGTTGATAAACACTGTGGGGAAAAGAAAGCTCTGAATTGGAGAGAATCTCTTGTTGATAAGCACTGTGGGGAAAAGAAAGCTCTGAATTGGAGAGACTCTTGTTGATAAGCACTATGGGAAAAGAAAGCTCTGAATTGAGAGACAGAGACTCTCTTGTTGATAAGCACTGTGGGGAAAAGAAAGCTCTGAATTGAGAGACTCTCTTGTTGATAATCACTATAGGGAAAAAGCTCTAATTGGAGAGACTCTGTTGATAAGCACTGTGGGGAAAAGAAAGCTCTGAATTGAGAGACTCTCTTGTTGATAAGCACTGTGGGGAAAAGAAAGCCCTGAATTGGAGAGACTCTCTTGTTGATAAGCACTGTGGAAAAAGCTTCTGAATTGGAGAGACTCTCTTGTTGATAAGCACTATAGGGAAAAAGAAATGAATTGGAGAGACTCTTGTTGATAAGCACTGTGGGGAAAAGAAAGCTCTGAATTGAGAGAATCTCTTTGTTGATAAGCACTGTGGGAAAAGAAAGCTCTGAATGGAGAGACTCTCTTGTTGATAAGCACTGTGGGAAAAGCTCTGAGTGACTTAATTGATAAGAACTGGAAAAGAAAGCACTGAATTGGAGACCTCTTGTTGATAAGCTCTTGTTGATAATAAGCACTGTGGGGAAAAGAAAGCTTTGAATTGAGAGACTCTCTTGTTGATAAACACTGTGGGAAAAAGAAAGCCTGAATTGGAGAGACTCTTGTTGATAAGCACTGTGTGGGGAAAAGAAAGCTCTGAATTGAGAGACTCTTTGTTGATAAGCACTGTGGGGGAAAATAAAGCACTGAATTGGAGAGACTCTTACACTTGTTGATAAGCACTGTGGGGAAAAGAAAGCTCTGAATTGGAGAGACTCTCTTGTTGATAAGCACTGTGGGGAAAAGAATTGGAGAGAATTCTCTGATAAGCAATTGGGAGAAAGAAAGCTTGTTGATAGAATCACTGTTGGGGGGAAGAAAGCTCTGAATTGAGAGACTCTCTGTTGATAAGCACTGTGGGGAAAAGAAAGCTCTGAATTGAGACTCTCTGTTGATAAGCACTGTGGGGAAAAAGAAAGCCTGAATTGGAGAGACTCTTGTTGATAAGCACTATGGGAAAAAAAGCCCTGAATTGGAGAGACTCTCTTGTTGATAAGCACTGTGGGGAAAAGAAAGCTCTGAATTGGAGAGACTCTCTTGTTGATAAGCACTGTGGGAAAAGAAAGCTCTGAATTGGAGAGACTCTCTTGTTGATAAGCACTGTAGGGAAAAGAAAGCTCTGAATTGAGAGACTCTCTTGTTGATAACTCAGGGGAAAAGAAAGCTCTGAATTGGAGAATGTTGATAAGGTCTGTGGGAAAAGAAAGCCTGAATTGGAGAGACTCTCTTGTTGATAAGAACTGGGGGAAAGAAAGCTCTGAATTGGAGAGACTTATTGTTGATAAGCACTGTGAAAAGAAAACCTGGAATTGGAGAGACTTGTTGATAAGCACTGTGGGGAAAAGAAAGCTCTGAATTGAAAAAGACTCTCTTGGGAAAAGAAATTGAGAGAATCTCTTGTTGAAAGCACTGTGGGAAAAGAAAGCTCTGAATTGGAGACTCTCTGATAAGCACTGGGGAAAAAGAAAGTCTGAATTGGAGAGAGACTCTCTTGTTGATAAGCACTGTGGGGAAAAGAAAGTTCAGAATTGGAGACTCTCTTGTTGATAAGCACTGAAAAGAATTGGAGAGACTCTCTTGTTGATAAGCACTGTGGGGAAAAGAAAGCCCTGAATTGGAGAGACTCTTTGTTGGGATAAGCACTGTGGGGAAAAAGCTCTGAATGGGAGACTCTAGGATAAGCACTGTGGGAAAGAAAGCTCTGAGAGACTCTCTTGTTGATAAGCACTGGGGAAAAGAAAGCCTGAATTGGAGAGAATCTCTTGTTGATAAGCACTGTGGGGGAAAAGAAAGCTCTGAATTGGAGAGACTCTTTGTTGATAAGCACTGTGGGGGAAAAGAAAGCCCTGAATTGGAGAGACTCTTGTTGATAAGAACTGTGGGAAAAAGAAAGCCCTGAACTGGAGAGACTCTCTTGTTGATAAGCACTGTGGGGGAAAAGAAAGCTCTGAATTGAGAGACTCTCTTGTTGATAAGCACTATGGGGAAAAAGAAAGCTCTGAATTGGAGAGACTCTTGTTGATAAGCACTGTGGGGAAAGAAAGAATTGGAGAGAATCTCTTGTTGATAAGCACTGTGGGGAAAAGAAAGCTCTGAATTGGAGAGACTCTCTTGTTGATAAGCACTATAGGGAAAAGAAAGCACTGAATTGAGAGACTCTGTTGTTATTAAGCACTGACCAAGAGACTGTTGATAAGAAAAAAAGCTCTGAATTGGAGAGTTGATAAGCACTGGGAAAAGAAAGCTGAATTGAGAGACTTTGTTGATAAGCACTGTGGGGAAAAGAAAGAATTGAGAGAGAGACTCTGTTGATAAGCACTGTGGGGAAAAGAAAGCTCTCTTTTGTTGATAAGCACTGTGGGAAAAAGAAAGCCTGAATTGGAGAGACTCTCTTGTTGATAAGCACTGTGGGGAAAAGAAAGCTTGAATTGAGAGACTCTCTATTGTTGATAAAGACCGTGGGAAAAGAAAGCCTGAATCTCTTGTTGGATAAGACTGTGGGGAAAAAAAGCTCTTTAATTGGAGAGACTCTCTTGTTGATAAGCCACTGTAGGAAAAGAAAGCTCTGAATTGGAGAGACTCTCTTGTTGATAAGCACTGTGGGGAAAAGAAAGCCTGAACTGAGAGACTCTCTTGTTGATAATTGTGGGGAAAAGAAAGCTCTGAATTGAGAGAGACTCTTGTTGATAAGCACTATGGAAAAGAAAGCACTTAATTGAGAGACTCTCTTGTTGATAAGCACTGGTGGGGGAAAAGAAAGCCTGAATTGGAGAGACTCTCTTGTTGATAAGCACTGTGGGGAAAAGAAAAGCTCTGAATTGAGAGACTCTCTTGATAAGCACTGTGGGGAAGAAAGCCCTGAATTGGAGAGACTCTCTTGTTGATAAGCACTGTGGGGAAAAGAAAGCTCTGAATTGGAGAGACTCTCTTGTTGATAAACACTGTGGGGAAAAGAAAGCTCTGAATTGGAAGACTCTCTTGTTGATAAGCACTGTGGGGAAAAAGTAGTCTGAATTGGAGAGACTCTCATGTTGATAAGCACTATAGGAAAAGAAAGCTCTGAATTGAGAGACTCTCTTGTTGATAAGCACTGTGGGGAAAAGAACAGAATTGGAGAGACTCTAATGTTGATAAGGACTGTGGGGAAAAGAAAGCCCTGAATTGAGAGACTCTTGTTGATAAGCACTGTGGAAAATGGGTATTCTCTTCAAACTGTCCTATCCAATTCATTCCATACTGATTCAATGTGGAAGAAATTCATTTCCATACTGATAAGCACTGAAAAAAAAAAACATACTTTCACTCTTTGGGTATTCTCTTCAAACTGTCCTATCCAATTCATTCCATACTGATTCAATGTGGAAAACTGTCCCAAGTCAATGGGGATAAGAACTGAAAAAACATACTTTCACTCTTTGGGTATTCTCTTCAAACTGTCCTATCAATTCATTCCATACTGATTCAATGTGGAAGAAATCAGGGGATAAGCACTGAAAAAACATACTTTCACTCTTTGGGTATTCTCTTCAAACTGTCCTATCCAATTCATTCCCATACTGATTCAATGTGGGAAGAAGTCAGGGGGATAGCTGAAAAAACATTTTCCTCTTTGGTATAAACTGAACTGAAAAAAATAACTTTTCACTCTTTGGGTATTCTCTTCAAACTGTCCTATCCAATTCATTCCATACTGATTCAATGTGGAAGAAGTCAGGGATAAGCACTGAAAAACATACTTTCACTCTTTGGGTATTCTCTTCAAACTGTCCTATCCAATTCATTCCATACTGATTCAATGTGGAAGAAGTCAGGGGATAAGCACTGAAAAAACATACTTTCACTCTTTGGGTATTCTCTTCAAACTGTCCTATCCAATTCATTTCATACTGATTCAATGTGGAAGAAGTCAGGGGATAAGAACTGAAAAAACATACTTTCACTCTTTGGGTATTCTCTTCAAACTGTCCTATCCAATTCATTCCATACTGATTCAATGTGGAAGAAGTCAGGGGATAAGCACTGAAAAACATACTTTCACTCTTTGGGTATTCTCTTCAAACTGTCCTATCCAATTCATTCCATACTGATTCAATGTGGAAGAAGTCAGGGGATAAGCACTGAAAAACATACTTTCACTCTTTTGGTATTCTCTTCAAACTGTCCTATCAATTCATTTCCATACTGATTCAATGTGGAAGAAAACATCAGGGATAAGCACTGAAAAAACATATTTCACTCTTTGGGTATTCTCTTCAAACTGTCCTATCCAATTCATTCCATACTGATTCAATGTGGAAGAAGTCAGGGGATAAGCACTGAAAAAAATGCTACTTTCACTCTTTGGGTATTCTCTTCAAACTGTCCTATCAATTCATTCCATACTGATTCAATGTGGAAGAAGTCAGGGCATAAGCACTGAAAAAACATACTTTCACTCTTTGGGTATTCTCTTCAAACTGTCCTATCCAATTCATTCCATACTGATTCAATGTGGAAGAAGTCGGGGTATAAGCACTGAAAAAACATACTTTCACTCTTTGGGTATTCTCTTCAAACTGTCCTATCCAATTCATTCCATACTGATTCAATGTGGAAGAAGTCAGGGGATAAGCACTGAAAAAACATACTTTCACTTTTGGGTATTCTCTTCAAACTGTCCTATCAATTCATTCCATCATTCAATGTGTCCTGAAAAACATATCTTTCACTCTTTGGGTATTCTCTTCAAACTGTCCTATCCAATTCATTCCATACTGATTCAATGTGGAAGAAGTCAGGGATAAGCACTGAAAAACTTTCACTTTCACTCTTTGGGTATTCTCTTCAAACTGTCCTATCCAATTCATTCCATACTGATTCAATGTGGAAGAAGTCAGGGGATAAGCACTGAAAAAACATACTTTCACTCTTTGGGTATTCTCTTCAAACTGTCCTATCAATTCATTCCATACTGATTCAATGTGGAAGAAATCAGGGGATAAGCACTGAAAAAACATACTTTCACTCTTTGGGTATTCTCTTCAAACTGTCCTATCCAATTCATTCCATACTGATTCAATGTGGAAGAAGTCAGGGGATAAGAACTGAAAAAAACATACTTTCACTCTTTGGGTATTCTCTTCAAACTGTCCTATCCAATTCATTCCATACTGATTCAATGTGGAAGAAGTCAGGGGATAAGCACTGAAAAAAACATACTTTCACATAAACTGTTTCCAATTCATTCCATTTTCAATGTGGAAGAAATCATTCTTTGGGTATTCTTCAAACTGTCCTATCAATTCATTTCCATACTGATTCAATGTGGAAGAAGTCAGGGATAAGCACTGAAAAACATACTTTCACTCTTTGGGTATTCTCTTCCAAACTGTCCTATCCAATTCATTCCATACTGATTCAATGTGGAAGAATTGAAAAACATTCACCTTTGTCAGGGATAAGAACTGAAAAAACATACTTTCACTCTTTGGGTATTCTCTTCAAACTGTCCTATCCAATTCATTCCATACTGATTCAATGTGGAAGAAATCAGGGATAAGCACTGAAAAACATACTTTCACTCTTTGGGTATTCTCTTCAAACTGTCCTATCCAATTCATTCCCATACTGATTCAATGTGGAAGAAGTCAGGGGAAAAAACATACTTTCACTCTTTGGGTATTCTCTTCAAACTGTCCTATCCAAATTCCATACTGATTCAATTTCACTGAAAAAACATTTTCACTTTGGGTATTCTCTTCAAACTGTCCTATCCAATTCATTCCATACTGATTCAATGTGGAAGAAAAAAACATCAGGGGGATATAAGCACTGAAAAACATACTTTCACTCTTTGGGTATTCTCTTCAAACTGTCCTATCCAATTCATTCCATACTGATTCAATGTGGAAGAAATCAGGGCATAAGCACTGAAAAAAACATACTTTCACTCTTTGGGTATTCTCTTCAAACTGTCCTATCCAATTCATTCCATACTGATTCAATGTGGAAGAAATCAGGGCATAAGCACTGAAAAAAACATACTTTCACTCTTTGGGTATTCTCTTCAAACTGTCCTATCCAATTCATTCCATACTGATTCAATGTGGAAGAAGTCAGGGCATAAGCACTGAAAAAACATACTTTCACTCTTTGGGTATTCTCTTCAAACTGTCCTATCCAATTCATTCCATACTGATTCAATGTGGAAGAAGTCAGGGGATAAGCACTGAAAAAACATACTTTCACTCTTTGGGTATTCTCTTCAAACTGTCCCATCCAATTCATTCCATACTGATTCAATGTGGAAGAAGTCAGGGGATAAGCACTGAAAAAACATACTTTCACTCTTTGGGTATTCTCTTCAAACTGTCCTATCCAATTCATTCCATACTGATTCAATGTGGAAGAAGTCAGGGGATAAGCACTGAAAAAACTTTCACATTCTCTTGTCCTATCTCTTTCCATACTGATTCAATGTGGAAGAAGTTCTGAAAAACATCAAACTGGGTCCCTTCAAAACTGTCCAATTCAATTCATTTTCATACTGATTCAATGTGGAAGAAGTCAGGGGCACTGAAAAACATACTTTCACTCTTTGGGTATTCTCTTCAAACTGTCCTATCCAATTCATTCCATACTTTCAATGTGGAAGAAGTCAGAAAAGTTGGGTATTCTCTTCAAACTGTCTATCCAATTCATTTCCATACTGATTCAATGTGGAGAAGTCTGATAAGCACTGAAAAAACATTTTCACTCTTTGGGTATTCTCAAAAACTGTCCTATCAATTCATTCATATTTCACTGGGTATTCTTCAAACTGTCCCATCCAATTCATTCCATACAATGGAAGAAGTCAGGGATAAGCACTGAAAAACATACTTTCACTCTTTTGGGTATTCTCTTCAAACTGTCCTATCCAATTCATTCCATACTGATTCAATGTGGAAGAAGTCAGGGATAAGCACTGAAAAAAACATACTTTCACTCTTTGGGTATTCTCTTCAAACTGTCCTATCCAATTCATTCCATACTGATTCAATGTGGAAGAAGTCAGGGATAAGCACTGAAAAACATACTTTCACTCTTTGGGTATTCTCTTCAAACTGTCCTATCCAATTCATTCCATACTGATTCAATGTGGAAGAAGTCAGGGATAAGCACTGAAAAAACATACTTTCACTGGGTATTCTTTCAAACTGGTCCATTCTTCCATACTGATTCAATGTGGAAGAAGTCCTAAGCACTGAAAAACATATTTCATTTTGGGTATTCTCTTCAAACTGTCCTATCCATTCAATGATTCAATGTGGAAGAAGTCAGGGGATAAGCACTGAAAAACATACTTTCACTCTTTGGGTATTCTCTTCAAACTGTCCCATCCAATTCATTCCATACTGATTCAATGTGGAAGAAGTCAGGGGATAAGCACTGAAAAAACATACTTTCACTCTTTGGGTATTCTCTTCAAACTGTCCTATCCAATTCATTCCATACTGATTCAATGTGGAAGAAGTCAGGGATAAGCACTGAAAAACATACTTTCACTCTTTGGGTATTCTTTCAAACTGTCCTATCAATTCATTCCATACTGATTCAATGTGGAAGAAGTCAGGGATAAGCACTGAAAAAACATACTTTCACTCTTTGGGTATTCTCTTCAAACTGTCCTATCCAATTCATTCCATACTGATTCAATGTGGAAGAAGGGGATAAGAACTGAAAAACATACTTTCACTCTTTTGGGTATTCTTCAAACTGTCCTATCCAATTCTTCCATACTGATTCAATCATAAGATTCATTTTCACTCTTTGGGTATTCTCTTCAAACTGTCCCATCAATTTCCATACTGATTCAATGTGGAAGTCAGGGGATAAGCACTGAAAAACATACTTTCACTCTTTGGGTATTCTCTTCAAACTGTCCTATCAATTCATTCCATACTGATTCAATGTGGAAGAAGTCAGGGGACAAGCACTAAAAAAATACAACTCCTCTTTGGGTATTCTTCAAACTGTCCTATCCAATTCATTCCATACTGATTCAATGTGGAAGAAGTCAGGGATAAGCACTGAAAAAACATACTTTCACTCTTTGGGTATTCTCTTCAAACTGTCCTATCCAATTCATTCCATACTGATTCAATGTGGAAGAAGTCAGGGGATAAGCACTGAAAA